TGTTACAGGATGGGACGTGTGTATTGAAGAATAACCAAGCAAATTCCCAGCCAGTCCAGGGAAGCCAGAGGGCCCTCACAGCAGAACGGGGCACAGACAGCATTTTCGTGGGATTCAGTATCCCTGTTACCCTCAGGGCTGGCCAGGCCAGGACCTGAGAATCTGGGGACCCCTCTGCAATTATCAGTACACGTCCTGAACAGTCAGGCCTGTCTTTATGAAAACTGTCTCCCCTTCCCTTACAAGGACTGCCTTGATCTGCAGTCGTTTTCTCTACAAATACAGTAAACCCTTGAAATGGGGCAAAGTACACTGCAACATGACCCAAACCTGGCTTCTGTCCTAAACCTGGGGCCCAATCTCAAATAAAGGTGGGCAAAACGCTTATCTTTGTGGGGCTGGTAAAGAAGTGATTGCCTGTGCTCCTTCGGAACGTCCTTAGTTTTGTCTGCTGCATGTCCTAAGGTTTCGCATCTTTCCTTTTGTGTTTCTTTGTGATAGTACAGACCAACTGAAAAATACTACTTTTCATTGATCCTACAATAACATAACTCCACATTTTACATGACTGAACATTTCTGCACTCGGCTTATTGTCTCATGGCAGAGTTTTACTATATTAAGTGCCTGTTCTGTGCCCATGGTACTGTGCTAGGTTTATGGCAATGAACATAACTGACATGGTCTCTGTTCTCAGGGAACTTGCTTACTCACACAGGAAATGGACAAGAAGCTGATAAGATAACTGTAAACTGGGATATGGGATATGAAGAAATCAAAGGACTGAAACAAGGACTTCCCTGGTGGTCCAGTGGCTGACTCCACACTTCCACTGCAGGGGCCATGGGTTCAGTCCCTGGTCAGAGAGGTGAGATCCTGCATGCCATGCGATATGGTCAACAACAGCCACAAAAGACTGAAACCAAATGACAGAGGGATTCACTTAAGGTGATTTGAAAGGCTTCTCTAAGGAAGTGACATCTGAACTGAGGAAGATGAGATGGAGAGAGCTAGAGGGAAGGGAAAGCATTCTAGAGGTCAGGAATAGCATGTACACAGGCCCTGGGGCAGGACTAGAAAAGATTTAGTTTTAAACTGGGTGAGTGTGGATCCAGGTGTCCCAGAGCAACCTGAACAATGGAGAACTGGGGAAGATGGAAGCCCTGGAGCCAACCAGTGCTCAAGGGTGAGGCCTAAGCCACAAGTTCAAATATGCTGTGGCTCACTCAGCTGGAGACTGTCCTAGACTGGAGCTATGGGAGTCTGCACCGAGGGTAGGGGTGATTCAAAGCAATGATAATTTATTGGAAATCTTCCTGAATTTCAGAGACAGTGTGGGCCACAGGACCCTGATGGCTGGGAGGAAATGAGCATCCTTTTTCCTCTTCCCTAAAGAATGTGCAGCCTGGCCTAGGTTCCCTTTCATTCATCAGCAATGGTTGGTTGAAGCCTCCTTTGTGCCAAGCACTGTGCTAGGCACTGGGGGGATACAGCAATTGACAAGACAGATAACACCTGTCCTCAAGGAGCTCACATCCTAGCTGGGTGGAGGCGGAGCAAAAACAAAATACAAAGCTGCCCACAACAAACTCAGCATTTTGGAAGAGGAGGAGGTGTCTGGAGTGATCTCCCTTCCTGAATGGGGGCTCTGGGATTTGGGCTCCTCCATTAGTTTTCCTCTATTAGTTTTTTTTTCTAGTGGATTCTATTTGGAGACCAGAGTTCTTTCCTCCTTGGATCCTCTTTCCTGTTGGTGAAAATTTAAAGAGAAACACACATGCGTGCGCAAGCACACACACACACCCCTCCCCTTTTAAGGGCTGTTAAAGGCCCACACGCAGACAAAGAAACACCCAAATGCACATACTTCTCTAATCTCCCTAAATCCCCCAAAGGCTGGGGTGGTGATGGTAGCGGTTCCCTGCTTAGCGCAGGACAAGCCAGGCTAGGGGGCCTGGGGACAATGATCAGCCTTAGCTCTCACACCCCTCTTCTCCAGGCCTGGTCCCTGGTCCCAGTCATTCCCACACCTGGCCTCCCCAGCTGCAGGGAGGTGAATGAGTGTGCTGGGCAAACATCCTTGCAGCTTCCTGCTGCGCCCTCGGAGACAACAGAACTCTTCTTCCGCCTTCCCCTCTCTCAGCTATGGGGCTTCTCGGGGATCCAGAGCCATTTCCCTATAGAGAAACCAGAGTCATCCTTTCCCCTGAGCCAGAGGATGGAGCTGGTATCTCTCTCTGGGGACGTGACCTGTTCTCCCTCTGGTCCTTTATCCCAGTTTTCTGAACACCAGCCCCTCTCTCCTACCTGCCCAGGGTTCCAGAGTCCCAGGGAAGAGGGCTCTAGTTGAGGGGGGGGGGGAAGCACATCAAGAACTGTGGGAGAATGCGGAGGGGATGGGAGGAGAAGCCCCCTCTTCTGGCAGGAAAGGCAGCTTCTTCCCAGGGATGTCTCTGAGAATCACACAGACTAGATTGCCACAGGATAAAGATGTCCTCATAGAAGGAAAAATACAGCACCCCTAGCCACCTCCAAGCAGACAAGACTTATGCAGAGTATGCAACTCATTCTCCTGTCTCTAAGAGAATGCATATTTCTTACACACGTGTGTTCAGGGTGAGCATCCTTTTTGATTTTTGCCTTTTTAATAGAGCATACATGGTTTCTACTGTGACTTCATGGCCTTTATCTGGATTTTGAAGGATAGTGAATAACCTACCCTCCATCTTCCAGACTGAGAAGCACACAGACCTCACCCATTCCCATCTTTAACCCTAGAAACACTTTCCTATCCTTATGCAGAAAGAAAAGGGAGTTGGGGATGGGGTTCGAATGGGTTCCCAACTGGGAGGGACCTTAGACATCTAAAGGGAGGCACCAGAAAAGGAAGGTAACTTGCTCAGGAGCACACGGCAACTCCTACCCGAGCAGTCCTTACCAGTATCACCATTAGTCTCCAGAGCATGTTACCTACGGAAACTTACCTGGCAGGCATCATCCTACATCAATCTTCAATTTTCTCACTAAATCTCTATAAGAACACTATGGGAAAGCTTTCTATATCTCCGTGTTTCAGATAAAGAAACCAAGGCCCACAGGAAGAAAAGTCACTTGTCTGAACTGCCCGGCTGGCTGGCGGCAGAAGCACAGCTAGAACCCAGTTTCCAGATTCCCATCCCAGGAGCCTTCGTTCCTCTTAGAAATTCTCTCCCCCTGCCTCACCTGGCCTTGCTTGGGCCTGAGATAAGGAGCTCCTTGAGCAGAGTTTTTCCTCCCCAGGCCCAGTACTGGATACCACTGACCACAATCACGCATCCTTTCCTGCCCTGGACCAAGGCCCAGATGAGCAGCTGGGGACACAAGGCTGAATGCAGCCGCAGCAGGAGGCTGTAGGCGGCAGAGTTCATTCAGAAGAAAGCCCAAATCGGAGCTGCTGCGGGCTCAGGAACCTGACAGGGGGCTCCACCAACAAAGGCATGCGCTCCAGCAAGTCCCCGCCCCCCACCTCCGACCAGTGTCTGTCACCAACTTCAAGAGGGGTGTGTGGAACCCCAGATCCCTGGGCCACAGCATCCGTGGGAAGACTGATCCAACCTCTCCCTGTATTGTAAATGAGCAAACAGGCGCAGGCGGGAAAGGCTCCCTGGGAGAGGCAGAAGCAGAGGCAAGACTAGAACTCTGGCCTCCCCGCTGCCAGGTCAAGCTCTCTCCCTTCCTCCTGACTGCAGAAGTGTGCTTTCTCTGACTGGCAGCTGGGACCTTCCTCAGAGAGCAGGGTGACCTGGATCTGCTGCCTAATGGAGGACCGGGGAACCTCCCACCACACGCCTCCCTGCCTCGGGCTCCTGTCTTTGGGCTTGTTTAGCCATCAGCAGCATGGGACAGTTTAGGTGGAAGTCCAAGATGCCCAGTCCCTGAAGGCTGTGTGCCCTTGGCTTTTGTCTGCCAAATTCACAGTACTCCCAGGAGTTAGAGGTCAGCAAATAGGGACCCTTGAGATGACTACTGTGTGTGTGAGAGACAGAGAGGCAGTTCACTGCCTGGGGTGGGGATCCCCTCAGAACCCCCAAGTTCCCACATTTCAACTCGACGGGCCCTTCTGAACCCCAATACTTTCTCCCCTTACAGAGCCCATCTCCCACCCCACCCCCCACCCCAGCGCCCTAAGGCTGAGCCCAAGGGAAGGCGGGCGGGAAGAGGAAAGAAGCCACATTTCTTTACGGGGTGGCGGGTGGACAGAAGAGAAGACACGGGTAGTTACAATCCACAGGGAGAGAGGCTCGAGGGACTGAGAGACAGGCCTGGAGAAAGACCTCCCTCCTCCGGAGCGATCGCCCTGTGCGGCCCCCGGCCAGTTGAGGGTCAGGTCCTCCCTGGGGGAAATCTCTGGCTTGATTTCCTGGGGGACTAGGCACGGCAGCACCCCTGAATTCCCGAGTCTGGCTCAAAATCGGGGTCTGGCTCGCCGCCCACCCCAATGGGCGTCCGGTCTCTGGCCCTTCGAACACGCCCCTGTGCGCCCCCCAGCGGAGAGCCAGAGGCAGAGCCACTGAGGTCCTAAAGGGGGCGCAGGAAAGGGCGCCGCCACTTTGTGCCCCATCTGGCCCCGGAACCCCGGGCTGGGGGCTGCAGGACGACTAGGAGAACTGGGGCAGGGGCAGAATCGGTGTCTGTTGAGCTCATATTCGGGGGTCGGATGGCCCCGACTCCTCGACGAGTTCCCTTCCCCTGGAAGGCCGAGGCCAGTGTATCCACACGGACGGAGCCCCCAGGAGGAGCGCGGACTGGCGCAAGCTCTCGGGGTTCCAGGGAAGTGTCGAGGGATCGGGTCACCGAATCTCAGAGCCCTAAGTACGTGTATCTCAAGGGGACCCAGCGCCGAGCCGCCCTCCCCCACTTCTGCCCAGTGATGCGTATAGACCAGTTCTTCTGGAGGCCCCAGGTGCACCGCGAAGAGGCGTAAGGAGTGGTGGAAGGCGAAGCCCAGACCCTTCATCTTACCGCATTGTTGAGGAAATCCGACTCGTTCAGATCCCCCAAGTCCAGGAAGCTGGATCCGGGAAACAGCCTGTCGGCCGGGAAGGGCTCCAAGACGGCGTCCATCGCGGCCGGCTCCGGAGACCCCCCTACGGCTGGGCTTCCCCTCACTCCAGGGCGGCGGCGCGCCCGGCCCAGAGCTCCGGCCCGAGCGCTGGCAAGCGGGCGGTGTGGGGGGGGCGGGCAGGTCCCGGGCGAAGCCCCGGGGGAGGGGCGGGCAGAAGCGGCGCGGCCCCGGGTCGGGGGCGCGGGGTGCGCGGAGGCCTTAGGGTAGAGGCGCAGAGCGGGCTGCGCTCAGGGGCCCCGGGCGCACCGCGGGCATCTAGCCGACTCCTCCTCCGCCGGCTCCTCCCGGGGCACAGCTGGCTTCCATGGGGAGCCCGGGAGTGGGGCTGAGGGCTTGAGGAGCCCCCCCCGGACAGGGTGGGAGCCGGGGGAGGGGGAGCTGAGCGCTCCCCCCCGAGACTGGGTGGCTGCCGGGCGCTCCTCTCTCTCTGCGTCTCCCTCTGCACGGCTTCTGTCACTTTCCCTCTCTGCGAAGCCGGGAACCCCGGGCTGGTTAGCCCAGCTGGCCGAGGCGCCACGCCTCCTACATCAATATTCACGATAATTTCATATTAATGAGGAGGGGCGTGGCCTAGGGAAATCCTTTCCCTACTCCTTTAAAGAGACAGCTGCGAGCTAGTCTTGCAAATCTGTTGTTTCAAGGTAGGGGCTTGAAACAAATATTTCGTAGCTCCAGTAACCATGTTCTTTGAACCTCAGCTTCTTAAGGCTTTGCCAACCACATTCCCATAAATTCACGAGGGAGCTGAGTTATTTCTATTCCTCTAGGCTTATGCAGTCGTCTGAACCAAGTCCACAGTCAGGGAATTCCATCTCATGGGCTCCTCCACAAATCTCCTCTCATTGGGGGGATTTTCAGGTCTCCTCCTCCAAGAAGCCTTCCCTGACCCCAGACTGAAGCAGTTACCATTGCTATACATTCACAGGATATGGTGTGCTTCCCTCCTTGATTGTCATTGTCTGCTCCTATATCTCTGACCCTTCTGGATGCTGAGATCCCTAGGGCAAAGACTGTATCTGGCTTTCCTGTGTGTGAAAGTAATGGGGCGGGGGGAGGGCAGGAGAGATGAGGTAAGGACCCCTCTTCTCAAGTACCCCTAATGGTTCTGAAGAGCTAGAAGTTGGAGAAGAGTGGCCATGTGGCCTGTGTGAGCCAAGGTGTGGGCTGGCTGCGTGCTCCGTGGTCACAGACACTCCCAGGCCCCCTGGATCCATTACCTAAGTGACTCGCTCCAGAGTACAGCTTAATCTCTTGAAAGGGCTGATAAACAATCACCAGGCACCTGAGCAAATGGATATGGCCAGAAAGTCACTCCCTCAGAGGGCTGGGCTCAAGGTTCCTGCCCAGAAGTCGTTAATAGGATTAAGTGTGTCCTCCTTGTTTGGAGCTTTTAATTAGCTCAGGAACCAAAAGGCCTTTAAGAAGCGGAGATGTCATTGCAGTTAAGCCAGGGATGTCACCCAGATCGCTCTCTCAGTGCCAAGCTGGGGAAAGGGCACACCTAACCTGAGGTAGCAGCTGTTTGCTTGCCTGGCGTAGGCTGGCAGGCACGTGGCTTTCTGCCCATCTCCCGATCCAGTTGACATAGTTCTGGAGAATGAAGTTCTGACCCTCCAGATTGTCATATGACTATTAGCTCCTGGACCTCCTGGAGAGTTTGCTCCTAAGAAGCTGCGAATACAGCCCATGCTCTGGGGACCGGTTCACCAGCAATTCAACTCTGAGAAGCTGTGCTATGTGTTAAGTCGCTTCTATTGTGTTTGACTCTTTGCGACCCTGTGGACTGCAGGCTTCTCAGTAGGCAAAAGCACTGGAGTCGGTTGCCATGCCCTCCTCCTGGGGGTCTTCCTGACCCAGAGATCGAACCCACATCTCCTACATTGCAGGCAGATTCTTGACCACCGAGCCACCGGGGAAGCCCTCTGAAAGTTAGGTTGGGCCAGAAAGAAATCAGTTCACTCTCTAAACAGTGGCAGGTGGAGTGAGGGTGCCGAGACTGTGGGTGTTTTCCCCAGGTGTGTCACATCTGGCCAACTGGGGAGCAGTCAGACACTGAGAATTTGACTGACCCTTCGTGGGGGTGCAGGGGAGTGTGTGTGTGATCTCTGGCTAGGCAGACAAGCCAGTCCATGGTGGGCGATTTTGCGACTACAGGTGTCTGGAGTCCTGGCTCCTGAGCGGGAGTCTCAGCGGGCTCCCAGGAGGAACAAAAGTGCCCCTCCGCCTGAGGTTGGCTGGAAACTGTGCCTGTGCTCCTCCTAGCCTGCTCTGTAATTAGAGACAGAGGCACCACTTAAGTGATTGGGGAAGATTATAGAGTTTTAGATAAATGAGATTAGAGTGTCCTCTCTTTCCTGATTCTTACCCAGGTGAACACCCCAGGAAACTATTGAAAATAATCCTGGGGAGACACTCTGGTTCTGGCACCTCCTGTGGAGTCTGAGAGGTGGGAGCTCCCGAGAATTTCTGGGGGGAGGTGATGGGGGGAGTAGAGAAGAGAGGGAAGAGGAATGGGCAATGCAGAGCCTAGCATGTCCCAGCCAAGGTGAGGATGGCAGGGGGTTTCTGCACACGTCCTACAGGTGTTATTGAGCGTCTGTGAACAGTCCCTAGACCTGGCCCTGGGGTACAGTGGTGATTCAGAATTTATATTCTAGAGTGAATGAGGAAGGAATGGGCAAAAAAAAAAAGTTAATTTTAATTTCAGATAGTGATAGGATATGAAGGAAATAGTGTGGTATGATGGAGTGGGTAAAGGAAGGCTTCTCTGAAGAGGTGATGTGTGAGCTGAGAACTGAAGTTATTTCTGGGGCAAAATGGAGGGAAAAGCATTCCAGATAGAGGGATCAGCAAGTAGAAGAGAAAGCAAGAGAAGGACTGGGAGGGGCAGGCAGTGACATGGGAGAGAGAAGACAAATGTGAAATCCCGAGGCCATATGCACATATACACTGACACTGCTCAAGTGGTAAAAAGAACTATGCCTGTTCAGATTCAAGGGCCCACCTGAAGCCTTCTATGGCAGCCATCCCCGCTGTGTCTATTTCTTGCTCTCCGCCACCCCCCCCAACCCCCGCCATACTGCAGGGCATGCAGGATCTTAGTTGTTCAACCAGGGATTGAACCTGCACCCCTGCAGTGGAAGCACGGATTCTTAAGCACTAGACCACCAGTGAAGCCCCCGTTATCTATATCTCTTAAAGATTTTCAAGAAAGGGAGAATAGACAGTTCACTGGGTCTTCAGTCTGGGCTCTGACCCAGCAGGGAGGGTCTGCTTCCTCCAGGCCTGTCCTGAGGCCGGGCCTGATCCCACAACCCAGACGCCTCAGGCCCCTTCTGTACATCTGAAGGGGTGGGGGAAGGAGGCCCAGATTGGTGTTTCAAACATCCCCAAATGCTCCAGGTCAGGAAAAGCTTGCAGACCGTAACCCCTCCAGTTGTGGGCTCAGCAACATCCGGTTGGTGTTGTCTGCAGCAGTTCCAGCTGGTTGGTGGTGTCTGCAACAGCTCCAGCTGTGAAGCGTAATGCATAAAGATGCCCCAACCCAGTCAGTGACGCACAGGAGAGAAGGTTCAGAGATAAGCTTCCTGCCTGTCCCAGACACTGGAGGTCAGGTGGAGAGAGAGGTATCTGCCAGGCTGAGCTGTGAGCAGGAAAGGTGTGTGTGCATGTGCGTGTGTGTGTGTGTGTGTACACGTGAGTGTGTGAGGGTAGGGGGCCTGGCTGGGGACTGCAGCACTTTGACACCCTTAGAGAGTCACTGACCTTCTCTGGGTCTCAGTTTTCACATCTGTCAAATGGGAGAGGTATTCATGATGCCTAGGGTCCTGTCTTCTCCAAGCACTTTCCAGATGTGTCATTAGCAGGCCAGGAATGGTAGAGAGTAGGGAGAGATGGGTGAATGGCCTGCCTCCTTAGGAGGCCCAGGGCTCTGATTTTCCAGGCTTTGGCCCTGGAGCCTCGAGGAGGGTGCAAGGCTGGGTGTTTACATTTGGCAGGCAGGCCCTGGGTGGTGGTGAGAAGGTTGCCCAAAGTAAACCTGCCTTGTTTGCCTGGATTGTAAAGGGAAAAACGCTTTGGCACACTCTACCAGGAACTTCTGAGAAATGAAAGCATATTCATCCTGGAGATTAGGCTGACTTCCGGGCCACAGATGGGCCCCTTTGTTCTCTCGTGGCTCCCTCACAGGGGCCACATGGCTGTCCTCCCTGTACGTCCCGCTGGGACAGATTGCCAGGCTGCTGGGGGCGCGCCTCAGACCCCCAGCTCTCCATGGTCTTGGCCTGTGGTTCCTTCCCCGCTCCTCCGGGAACCATAAAATACCTGACTGGTGTTGAGAATTTGCTTGTGCCAGGCACTAAATACTTTGACTTGTATTATCTCGTTTAATTCTGGGAACACGCTGGGGAGATAAATATCATATTCACTGATTCTGAGAAGCACATTTAAACATCTCTGAAATCAGAAAGTGTCTTACAATCAGGAGCATGTCATGCTTGAATAGACAGTGTTTTTTTTTCCTTCTTAATGTATGGTACCAAGCAAATGGCAAAGCGTCTGATTGATAACAGCTTAGATTCGATGAAACAGGATATTATCATCATCCCCCGGTCTGCAGATGAGAAAACGGAGGCTCAGAGAGTTCACTGGACTTAACCAGTCCTTTATTTTGCAGGAAACCAAGCCCTCGAGGCCTCGGAGGCTTTCCTTAGGTCAGCCAGCTTCAATGAGACAGAGATAGGGCTGAAATCCGGGCCTCCGGGCTCCTCACCCGGGGCCCTTTCCACTCACCCCAGATGAACTGGGTTTGCTCGCTAGGGAGAGGCAGGCGCGGCGGGGAGGGCCTTCCTCAGCGGCCAGTGAGTCACCAGCCACCCTACCTTGGAGAAGGGCCTTAAAGATAGAATTTTTTTCCCCTTTCCAAATTCTCTGAAGACTGAAGTTCCTTAAGGACGAAGAAAACACTTGTCTCCCTTCCAGCTCCTTTTCCTGGTAATTA